TGTTTTGTATAATTTGGTTATTCTGAGCATAGAATTGCACATGATCTCCAAGGCCAGCCTGATAATTTCTCCATATTTTTAAAGACAGAATTATAATTTGATGATATAGAAGGAATAGCCTAAGGATCTACTCCACTTTCTTGAAACTGTTCTGAATTTTTGTCTGTTCCCCCCCGCTTCCTTCCTCCAAATCCCTGAAGATTTCTTGGCAAAGCTTTTCAGAAGAGGTTTGCCATTGCTTTCTTTCTGTGGCTGAGAATAAGTGACTGGGCCCAGGATCACCAGCTGACTTTGTTTTTAGGATAGAACTAGAACTGATTTTTAACCACTACACCAAACTAGCTCTCTTGTATGAAATTATATTTAACAGTAATTCCTCATAGGATTCAAAATAGCATTTTTAAAAAAATAAATGCAATATGTATTTAAGCAGGATTAATGCATTGGAAATTTGTATCAAATTTAACAATTTCTAACCTGCCACCAGTTTGAGTCTTCTCGATTTACAATCTGAAGAATTTCTCCCTTGGAAAATTTAAGACCAGCTTCTTTGCATGGAATGAGATTATCATTGAATGGATTATAATCAAAGTGACACTTCACAAATACCTGAAACATAATTTTAAAAATAGCTTAAGAACAACAATTCTAACAGACTTACAAATACTTAGCAAGCGTGCTTAAGAGTTAACTATTTTTTTTTTATTCAGCAAAATGAAGGGTCCAGAGGACAATTCTGAAAGACAATTAAGTTTCTGGTAAAGGTTCAAGCTGTTAAAATCCCTTGAAATGAATTACTGGTATTACAGTTATCATGTGATCATTTATGTTCTTATAATTTGTGTTTTGGTGATCCCAATTATTTTTAGATGTTTATATTCTCAGAAAGCAGTCAAGTGAGCTGAAGTGAAACCAATATTTTAATTAAGAGTTCCAGGATTCACGCTTGCATAGAAGATTATGCCATCTACCACAGAAGAAAACTTTGTCCCAAAGCAGTAGACAGAAAGGTTACAACTGATTAGTGTTATAAAAAGGGACTTGCCTTTATATGAAATAACCATCTCAGTGATTACTAATACAATTTTAAAGATATTCTGTACATAGTTTAATGTTTGTTCAAAGCTAATTTATTTTATTCCATATCTTACAGTCAATTCTCAGAATTATTATTATTTCATGCAGTGTATTGCATTGTCTTTTATAAACAAAGGCTTTCGAACAAAGCATGACTAAAAAACAGTGAATGCATGGGTGCTACAGAAAGCTCCAACACACAAATTCAGTTACAAAGTAATATTTTCCAAATATTGCATCAAAACATTTTAGGTTTATTCAGAAAATCATAGTTCTGAAAGGACAAAATTACTTTTTATGTAATGAGATTGAATTAGGCCACAACTTCTAACTTAATGAAGGCACTGACAATTTATCTGGGTGTAGTGAGTATAGGGCTATCACAAGGATATCTGTCTTAGCATAAAGCCCCAGGTGGGCATTTTCACTTGGAAATTTTTCAAAACAGCTCAAACTAAACCACCTCCTTTAGAGAAGAAAAATCATACGATGGCTGTTACAGATCTTCAAATCATTAGAGAACTGTAATCATGATGGGCCATCCTATTTCTCTTAAGAGTAGAAAACCACTCCCAGATATTTAAAAATACAGGTGGTCCCTGAGCTGAGAACTCCCGACAAACAGATAATTCACACTTATTAATAAATTTCCATAAACTCTATTATATTAAAATATTAAAAATTTTGTGTTAAATTCAAGACTTCATAATAAATGCCTACACTACTTTGTAATGCTCATGAAAACACTGCGCAGCTTCAGAACATCTCTGCTATTTTATATATTCAAATTTGACTAAAGGATGATAAATAAGAACAATATGTATCTGATTAAACTACTGTATAAATTCACTTTAAGCACAAACTTAGGAACAGACCTTTTTCATAATCCAGAGACTGCCCATATGAGCTTTTCTAAAGTTTCCCTCTATATTCCATCTCACAGAAGGAATCACCCTTCTATGTCCAATAGCACAGTGGGAAATAAGGATTGCATCATCTGCATTTAGCGGTACTGATTATTTGCAGCCTGCAAATTTAAGGGCATGGCCGATTTGTTCACAATTTCAATCAGAGTTGATGAACAGGGCAAGATCTAAAATACATCTCTGATGCATACCATGCTGCATCCATATTTCATTAGCGAGTAGCCCTTATTATAATACACCTTACAGCATACAAGTACAAAATCAACTGGAGCAACTGCCTGTCCATGGTGTGTTCTTGAGCTTATCCAGCGGTGGAATTCAAATAGCTAAACAACCAGTTCTCTTATTCGACGCAGGCCTGGGCCTCTGAGGCCTAGAATGGACTTCCGGAAGTGGCATCCGTGCACTTCCAGTGGGCCGTTGTAGGTCTGGGAGGCCTCCTCCAGGCTTCCAAGGCCTAGAACAGACTTCAAAAGTGGCATCCATGCACTTCCAGCGGGCTGTTCTAGGCCTGGGAGGCCTCCGACACCTAGACTGGACTTCTAGAAGCCAACCGGTTCTTTGAATGCAGCAAAATTTAGCTATTGGTTCTACCGAACCGATGTGAACTGGCTGAATCCCACCACTGAGCTTATCCCATTGAATCTCCCTACTATGGAATCAAAAGTGACTAAAGTCCAAAAATGACAGATATAAGGATGGATTTAAATTATTCATGTATTTCTGAGTAAAGTGTCATAGTACCCAAATATGGACAACAGTTCACTATCCATCACCAAAGCCACCCTATTTATCCCCTAAGATTCCTTCTAGAATCTGTCCATTACTGATGTTCATTGTTTAGATGCCAATTGGTCTACAGTTAGCTGGCTCATCCCATTTATCCTTCTTATAGAGAAGGACTATTACTGGTACCTCAAAATCTTAGAAATATGCCTGGTTTGGTAGACATATATATATAAACAGAGATGACAGCAAAGGCACTATTTGCAGTTACATTTGATCACATCAGGCAAAATACAATCATTGCCCAGAACCTCTATCATTTAATCACTTCTCCCAGAGTGACAGAGTGTTCTTTCTAGACATAAATAAGATGTGTGGTGTGTGCGCGAGTTATACATAGAGCCAGAAAGAAATAAAACCAATAGAATGTAATATATAATTTTATTCTCAAGGAATTGTTTTTAAGAATTTACCAAAATTATTGCATTAATTTGTTGCTCAGAAATTAATATCTTCGCTTTCATCTTCAATAGAGAGCCAGTTTGGTTTAGGTCAGGGGTAGGCAACCTTGGTTCTTTTATGACTTGTGGATTTCAACTCCCAGAATTCCCGAGTCAGCATGGCTGGTTCAGGAATTCTGGGTATTGAAGTCCACAACTCATAAAAGGGTCAAGGTTGCCTACCCCTGGTGTAAGTGATTAAGGTACTGGCCTAGAAACTAGGTGACTGAGTTCTAGAGCTACCTTAGGCATAGAAGCTAGCTGGATGGCTTTGGGCTAGTCTTAGCCCAACCCACATCACAGGATATTGTTGTAGGGAAAATAGGTAAGACCATTAGATTTGTTTGCTGCCTTGAGTTGGCCCAAAGTATTTTAAAAGGGGAATAAAAATCTAATAATAGTAATAGATATGGTAGTAACATGCAACCTTTCATACACTTGAGTTGTAGTCAGCTGCAGCTTTACAATGCCTGCATTCTGAATGAAATTCCTGTAAGTATGTGTAACTACAGTGCATTTACACATATATTTTAAGTAGCTCTTAGCAAAATATTAACTGCAGACAGTTGTCACCTTTAAATATGACCATAGCTGAGTTAACATATTTGATTAGACTGAGGAAAGAAAACAAAATAACATTCACTATATAGCTTCAAATCAAGGACAGTACTACTAACCTGTTGGGGAACAATATTATCTCTGTAGCTAGGAAGAATCTTCAGAGTGACACTACCACTAATACTCTTCAGGAGTTCTTGCAATTCTTTTGGATTGTTTCCAACTTCATGACCATTAACCTCTTTAATGATATCACCTACATGTAGGAGACCTTGTCGGTCTATCATTCCTCCATGAAGGATTCTTGCAATCACCAGGTCATTATTCTCCACCCTAAATGTCACACCCTAAATGAACATTTGAAGGGCATCAGAGTTTATCTCTGAAACATTTATCCCCATTTCAGAACTAGAATCTTAACAACGTGATTTCTTATTAGTTGACATTACATAAGAGCTGTTAAAACTTATACACTGTTATGATCCTGAAATCCAAAAGCAAAAGAGTATTTCATATAAGGAATTGACTTACAAACATGGATTTCTCACATTTTCAATTTACTGAACACAATTATTTTAATCTTTATCTAACTTATTAACATAAATTTATTTAATCTACTCTATTTACTGGTTGAAGAACATGCATAGATAAAGCAAGTCTTTAGCATTTCTTCTCCTGGGAGCATATTAGTGTTTTCAATGAAATTTGTTATTCCTTCTTTCATATACACTCACACACTAAAAGCTTGCAGTCCCACAAAAGCACTGGACTGCCTCAATATATAAAAACAGGTTTTTAAAGAACTATGCCTCTCCCACTATACTTTTATATTTTAGTTTCTATTCAAGAAGCATTTTGCAATCTTATAACTTTAATAATTAAACAAATGAGAAACATTATGCAAGTCTGCCAAATATATTTCATATTTAAGAGGGGAGAAGTCATACTTACCAGAGGCTCCCCTGCTCTTTTATGAATTCCAAGTATACGAATAGCATCTACTGGTATTATCTGATTGTTCACCGAAGCATTATTTATTTCTGGACTAGAGGGAGGAGATTCATAACACTTTGATGCCACAATATCATGAGCTTCTAAGAGTGACTGCAAATAGAGAATGGATGAGACGATACATTTAATACATCTTTTTTTCCTGCTATAATTGGCCAATAGTTACACAGAATAATTTGAAGGCTCTTTCTTGGCAATCCAGAATGGTCCTACAATATTAATAGGGCAACTCCTCAATTTTGGAAATAGCAACTGCAAAATATGATAAACTCTACTCATCATACAGAGAATTTTTCTACAGATTGCTCATTTTAGCATGTTTTCTTCAAGTCAAAACAACAGAAGTGATCCAGCTCAGACAAAAAGTTAAATTATGGTCTAATCTGAAGTAAATTAAATAGAAATGATAATTGAAGTTATTAATCAATCAAAATATATTTATAGTTCAAAATCAAACACATCTGAAGTTATATCTTCAATGTAACATTAATACAGTATTTTTTAGATCTGAACCATAAAGTCTTGTCTTTAAAACAAAAGCTATTTTCATGTTTTATAGCAATTGAACAAAAATATATTTAATTGTTAAGACTAGAAAATACACTTACCAGAAAGTGTGGTTCCTTTAGTATACCAATCAATTCGGCAATATTTTCATCTTTATTTATTAATGGACTGATGTCTTCAAGAATCTCATTGACCAGCTCCAGATTGTTATCACTCACAGCCTCAAGTTTAGAATCTTCTAATCGTTCATGAGCCTATGAAAATTACAGAACAAGCCATACTAACAAGAAAAGTGTATTTGATTTACTATTGATTTTACAATACTTACTGGGTATTTTGGTAACAACTCAGGTTGACCAATTATATTGTACTTTCTGCAAATTGTTATTTCGTGCAGGGTAATTTAGAATTTTTATCTTTGCTTCAGGACCCTTGAAAAAACAGCACTTCTGCAAATATATTTTTCTGAATACTTGTTTTTACTCCTAGCAACTGAAGCAATATAATAAGATTAATATACAGCCTTTTGGAAATAGTAAGGCACAATTATGCTTCAGATTCTGGTATAGATTCTCCCCACAGATAATGCTGATGTTATAAAGACTAAATATCTTACAAAATAAAATGTTACATGAAAATATATGTACCAATATGAAACAGGTCTATACGGAAAGATGGTGTTCTTAGGATAATCAAATTAGCAAACTAGAATCATTATTTTACATCTGCTTCCTTGCGACATGTACTTTTACCATAGTAGCCTGATTCTTTGCTTTAGAAATACGTAGGGGCACCAGTTCCTAAGTCTTAAAGCATTACTCGATAAGACTGCAAACTTAATGCAAGGTAAACGAGACTGAGAAAGTATAAATCACACATACTGTATTCAAATTAGCAAAAGCAAAGCTAATTTTTCTCCATAAATTTATCTTCAGCTGGGAGAAGGAATACAGTAAGGAATACCCACATTTATCTTTTTTCATCTGATGCCTAGAATAGTGGGGGCAACCTAAATTCAAATCATCCTTTCATCAGGTCGGACTAGACAGTCCTTCACTTACAACCACAATTAGGAACAAAATTCACTACATAGCAGTCATTAAGTGAGTCACGCCCAATTTTATACTGCATTATTAACTTGTTAAGCCTGCTTCCCCCATTGACTTTGCTTGTTGGAGCCAGCTGAAAAGGTTGCAGTTGGCAATCACATGATCTCAGGATGCTGCAATGAATGAAAATACATGCCAGTTGCCAAGCACCCAAATTTTGATCATGTAGCTGTGGGGACATTATGACAGGTGTAAGTGTGAGAGCTGGTCATAAGTCACCTTTTCTGGCTCCATCATATCTTTGAACAGTTGTTAAATGAATGATTATAAATCAAGGGTTACCTAAACAGTATTTACCTTTTGGAGAAGAAACTGCCATTTCATCTATTAAGTGTATACTGAAGAAACACAATACTGAAACTTCAGATTATAATTCCCTATACTCTATATATACAGATCAGATATCCTTCTTTTATTTTTTCACAAGCTATTTTTGAAACATCAAATTAATGCATGTTTACTGAAATCTAGAAGATGAAGTTAAGGATATTTAATGGTCACTTGAGAATTACCACAGCAATTAAAATAATTAAGTTTGGAGGCCCCACATCTGAACAACGATGTGATTAGAAGAATGTATTCCAACCTTCATACCCTCTTGCATATCGGATTATATTATCTCATACACTAGATACCAGCAATGTTTATGCAACTGTCCCCATAATTCAGTCTCCCAACTCTCTGAAGGGCCATAAGAAGTCATTATTGACATGGGGCATTATCATATAGGGGTTAGGGCTGCTACTGTCAATAACAAAACTTTGGGATGGGGTCGGGGTTAGGGTGGACATGGAAAAAACATCTTCCAGGTAGGATCTCTTCCTAATTCTAAAACTATTTAGAATCCTCCCCGAACAGATTACAATTATCTTGTTAAAATTCAGCAATTTTTGCTGCTAGGTTATAGCAGTGCACTCTTGGGGTGTTCTGGAATCCCCTACAGTTTGCCCTCTCTTTGAAAACTATTTCATAGTCAATTCTCCTCACTTGATGTACCAGGAAGTTCCAAGGAGCTAGCCTACATGAGAAGGAGCGTTGAACATTTGGAAATTAACTGTCATAAATAAATATCTCATACCTTAGCAAGTGATTTTACAATAGGATTTTCCATAATTCCTTTCAAGAAAATAAGGTCTATTTCTTCAGCTCCTGATGATGAGGGTAAATCAGTAAGATTATCCAAAACTTGCTGCATTGCTACTGAATATAAAAACATACAGGTAAAATACTTCAGACTTATTATAGCAAATATGTCTCTATTTGTTTTTGCTTTTTGCTTTTAAAATAATTGTCAATAAAAGTGACCAGTCACTTAAAAGCCAAACACCAATATTTTTCTACTTTAATGTTGGTTTTGAAAAAGATTTTAAAACCAGTAAGAAACCTTTTGGCACCTGAAAGCTAACAAATTTACAAGTACTCTTGGCTTAATGATTGTCCTATTTAGCAAACAAACTTACGATGCCCCTGAAAAAATAGCTTTAGAACTAGTCCTCTCATGACCATAGCAGTCATGTTTATACGTAATGACCACATCACTTAGCAATGGAATTGTTGGTCCCAATTGTAGTTGTTAAACAAGTTGTTATATGGGATAAATAATTGAGCATTCATAAAAGTGGGAATGGGTGAGGGTTCTTCATCTATTCCTTCACCTACTTTTGAGATAGAAAAACATCAAAGTGTGGTAGCTTCCTTACAGCATGGGAAAGATTGTAGAAATGAGGAGTCAATCCTGACAGTTTCCATTCATTGCCATTAGACAGAGCTATACTCATTAGATAGGAATCGTTTAAGCATATGGAAGGACATAATCCTTTAAAAGTGCCAATTATAGTAATGCATAGCAACACATCTGTCCATTTATAAATCACAATTTATTGAAAAGTAGAGAAGATATTGAAATACATATTATAAAATTAAATAGCCTACCTTAAGGTGTAGATCTATATGCTAAGTTTCCATAGTCCCAATACTCAAGTCACAATTTCTAATTTCAACAGTACTGGTTTAAATGTGTATTATTGTAATATAATAGTACAGCGTTTCCCTGAAAACAAGACCCGTGTCTGGCAGGTGAAGAGAGGTGGCAGAGGCGGTTTGTTCTGCCCGGTCCTTTGGCTGCCCCCACCTGTCCACACCACTTACCTCCTCGCCAGAAGGCGCATTCCGCTGGCACTGCCCTTGCCTCCCAAGCGTCTGCCCTGGGAAGCCCTATAAGCTGTTGCAGCTGTGGACAAGCAGACAGTAGGAGGAGCAGGTGGGCAGCTTTGGTGGGTGTCTGGCAGGCGGAGGGAGGTGGCAGGGGAGGCTTGTGCTGCCTGGTCCTTCAGCTGCCCCCACATGTCCGCGCCACTCTCCTCACCTGAAGGTGCGTTCAACCAACATTGCCCTTGCCTCCCAAGTGTCTACCCTGGGAAGCCCTGTAAGCCGTTGTGGCTGCGGGCAGACGGAGTGAGCGGGCAGCTTCGGCAGGTGTCTGGCAGGCGGTAGGGGAGGCTTGTGCCACCTGGCCACAGCCTAAGCCATGGGAGAATTGGAGGGAAAGGAGGCTGTGACTGCCACTGGGCAGGTGATCTGCGGGGTGAAGTGGTGGCACCGTGACCAAGGAAAGCCCCTCCAGTGGCAGATGCAGCTATTGTGCAGCAGCAGTAGAGTCTCTTTCTGTCACTCCCCCTGGCTCCAAAACGGCAGAAGGGGACCGGGTAAGGTGACCGAGCCTCCCCTGCACATTATCCATAGCATGGCAGTCCGGCTCAAGTGGGGAGTGAAAGGGAAGAGACGGGCAGGTAGCTGGGTCATTGAACAGGTGAGCAGAGGTTGCCGAACAGGGAATGGCCTGGCTGTGGAGGCCCTGAGGTAAGCAGGTGTGGGGCATATGGGGCAGCTCTACCCCACCTGCCTCACTTCAACTCGTGGCGACAGTACCAGTGTGACACACACTCTCCTGTCCAATTGCGGCAGTGAGCAACCATAAGGTGGGATGGAGTGAGTGGGCTATTTTGGGGGTAGGGCTTATATTAGGCGCACACCAAAAATCAGGGCTTATTTTCTGGGTGGCTCTTATTTTCAGGGAAACATGGTAACTACAGATCTTTTTCAACTTAAGACCGGTCATTTAATGACTGTATGGAGATACAATTGCCTCCAAAAAGGTGCTTTACAACCCCTAAAGCAGCCATATCATTCTAGCCATATCAAAATGTTGCATCCTCCTCCCATGGTCACATGACTGCATTATGGGCTTAGAAACTGACTAACATTTATGATCGATTGCAGATTCTGTAGTCATATGACTGTGATTTGCAACATTTTTTGCCATTTGTAGTGTTATTTGCTGGTTTCTGGCAAAAAACACCCTTTTAGGAGAATATGTTAGCATTTATAACCTTGTGGTTCACTTAACAATCATGTGATTCAGATTTACAACATCTTGATTCTCTTAATGATTGCCATATAAACAGTCATAAAATTGGGTCTGGTCATGTGGGTTCCTCAATTTACAACCATCACAATTTAATGATTGAAATTCCAGTCCCAACTGCAGTCATGAGTTGAGGACTACTTATAGCACTAATTTTATCTTTCAAATGTATTTAATTTTGTATGTATGTATAAGTGCAGTAAAGCAATTCACATATAAAAAGCACGTGTAAAAATAGATCAAGCCAGAAGCACTGGACCAGAATGATAGTTACTGATCCTCAATACTAATTTAATGTGCATTAATGTACGCTAATGCTAGCATTAATTTTTTAACAATGATTAAAAATAATGATGACAATTTCCGGTTCTGGATCACGGTGTCCCTAGTTGTACGAAGAGACCTGTCTCCTCGTTGGCTAGTTTTCCCTCCGCCGGTAGACCCTTATGCGGGTCAAAAGTCACCCTGGAGAGTGCGACTTCTGTCGACGAGGCTTCACTCGGCTGCGGAAGAGCGGCGGCTCTTCCAGCTGTTCGAGCCATCTCTGAGGGCCAATGGAGAAGGAAGATTGGCCAGTAAAATGGCCGATCACCCAGCTGCTCCAAACCACAAGTCAAAGAACATCTAAGCATTGAGAACCACCGTGGTGAACCCGGGTGAGACTTTTTCTTGGCTCCTCTCTTCAATCTATTTTGCTTTTTTTTTTTTGCCTGTAAGAGTTTTGTTGGAACTATTTCCCTGTCTTGAAAAAGCAGCTTCTATAAGTTCGGGAAAAAAGGCATTGAACAAAAGAATAGAATAAAACTTTAGAGACTATATTTTATTTTCATCTGTTTTGGGGTACAGAAAAAACTCCTTTTTAAGAGCTGTACTATTATTTTATGCTGGAAGATTATTTCTTGTTTCACATCATATTTTAAAAGAGAGAAAAAAAGGGGGAAAATGGTGTCTGGAAAAGATTTTTTTTTAATCTATTGAGGACATCTAGTGACGAAAACCTAATATTGCAACTCTGGTTATTCTTTGGAGATGGAATAGACTTGACCTTCAAATTATTTTTGAAGAAAAAAGATAAACTGATGTAGCAGTGGGAATTGTGGGGGTGGATAGTGCTTAACTTTTATTAAATACAGCCTCCACAAAAAAGGAATAAAGAGACTCTCTTCAATTACTATCAACATGGAGAAATCTCAGTTACAATTAAACTGCAAACTTATATTGGAAAAGATTTATGAGGCTACTGCAGAAATATCGCTACAATGAAAGAGTTTACTACAGAATTAAGAACCAGAAGTTCCACTTCAAACCTTCAAACTGATCTCCAGACTATATCTGACCATTCTACAAATCAAAACTTACTAGAAGAGGAAACAACTGACCCGGCGCAGATCTGACCCGGCGCAGATCTCAATTAGCCCCTTGGTTTACTGAGGAGCTGAGAGAGATGAAACGCCGGAAAAGACGCCTAGAGAGCAGTTGGAGGACGTCCCGGACCGAATCCGACCGAACACAGGTAAGGAGTCATATTAGATCTTACCTTGTGGCGATGAGGGTGGCGAGGACTAATTACTACTCCACCCTCATTGCG